GTTGCCTTATCTCCAGTGGTCATGATGCTGTTACATTCAGGAATTTGCGCTAAAAGCTGTGATAGGTCTGTGGGGGTTTTAATCTGTAGGAATTTATCTGAGGCATTCCCTTTTAAGCGAATAACTTGATACGCCGTATCAAAAATTGCGATACCTTTTTCGATTAAGAATTCGCGAATGCGTTGTTCTTTAAAATTTTTATTGGGTAAATCTAAAAAGTGGTCTTTATTTTCAAAGAAAATAAGCCCAAAAATCCGCCACATATCATTTTGATAATTCGGATAATAAAAATCCATCTTCCATCTGCTTTGAGGCGGTGGAAAGCTACCAAGCATCAACAGCTTAGCATTTGAAGGAAGAAATGGTTTAAGTGGGTGGGTTTCTATCTCTATATCAGTCATTTATAAATAAGAAATAATCTAAGAATTATACTGTTATCTTAACATTTTTACTTGCTAAGCATGGGTAGTTGTTTCTAATTTTATATTAAAGATTTTAAATCGTAAATTTATCCATTTTCTTTTAATTAACCAACTTAATCGATTGTTGTGCTTATTCAATAAAACCACCCGCAGGTGGTTTAAATACAACTTACACAATAAAAATCAGTAGCCATTCGCGCTTAACTTAACTCTAAAAGGCTCTGTTTGATTTCTCATCATTTCCTTCATCTCAGCTGTGATCTCAACACCCATCTCTTCAAGCATTAACAAACCAAATTCTGAAGTGCTCTCTGCAAAATTTTTGTTATCTATTAACATTTGAGCAAGCTTTACATTTTTAGGAAAATCAGGGAAAAACTCATTAAAGTCTTTTTTATCTTCAATTCCAAAATAGATAAATCTTCTCCATTCATTAGTTTGAATATTGCGTATAAAAATTATGTCAGCTTCAGTCTGCATACGCTTTTTGAATATTTCATCTTGTGATTGTATAGGTACAACACAAACTTCACCTACACTGGAGATATAATTTAATTTTGGTTTTAAAAATGTAGAATCTATATTTTTATAAGATCCATCTTTGGCTAAATCTTGCTGTAATTTAATGTCTTTTCTGTACTCAGCATCGCTGATCCATTCGCCTGAAGAAAAAGTCTGTCCTTGATGCTTAGGTTTAAGTTTTCGATCATATTCAATCTGGTCATAATAACTGATCACATCATCAAGTGAACCATTTTTAAGTATTTCTATTTCCTTGTCCCCTTGCTTATTAAAAATTTCATAGCTTTTTTCACACTGTAAGTTCTCTGCAAAGGAGAAACTTGATGCTAAGGTTGTTAAAGCAATAATGAATAATTTTTTCATGAAATACCCTCTTAATATTTTGGGGATAAGATACTCAGGTTGAGATCAGAAATAAACCTTACAAAAAATTTATTTAACACAACACATTAGCTGATTTTTTCAACTTGACCACTAAGCTATTATTTTTAAATAAATTTTAACAACATTCCGACAAAACTATTTTGCATCAAATCTCTTTATGAAGGGTCAATTCTTTATTGCTGCTGTGATTACTGGTTTTAAAAAATTACTAGAAATTTCATATAGAACAAAGCTTTAATCAATATTCTTTGTTCTAATAAAAGTCGTTGCGTCAATTCCACCCGTATAAAAAATACAAAACTTAGCTATGTGCTGTTTTTAATCGGAAAGTTCAAATAAAATCATTAAACATCTTGAATTTGTAACAATTTCAAGATATGGTAATAAAAATCATTGCATATCTCGGTAATATATTTGATAGTTAAGGTTCTTTAAGATTTATCTAAATATTAACTGACTTTATACAACCGAAAACTTTTTCTTAACATTAAAAATCAATTCGTTATGAACATTAAACTTTTTACAGCATTATTCTTGATCATTGCCCTGTCTGCTTGCAATAAAGAGCCTGAGCAGCATGTAACTGCGCAAACAGATCGACCAACCCTCACTGCACAATTTGAACAATCAGATGAAATGATTAGTAAATATCTTGATCAACTTGATGATCCAAATACAACATTGGATGATAAGACCAGAATCGTATGTCAAGATTATCCTAAAGAATACAAATCGAATTACATGCCAAATTTACTTAAATTAAATCCAGAGAACTATACTGAAGCTAAATTACTTTCAGACTTAGATATTGCTTTAAACTATTACAAAGAAAAAGAAAATATTCAGTGTAAAGTTACAAGATAGTGATTTTAGTTAATTAGTTTTTTCTAATGAAATCAACAAAGTAATATTTTATGAATGGCGTTGATACTTTTTTGAATCGTACTTTTAGTCTTTTGTTATAGTCAAAGATAGATATTTGAACGTTGTATTAGCTAAATTTTTTAAAAATACACTGTGAAATTTGTTTTGCCCAAATTTGATAAATTTCCTGACTCGGGTGAAAACCATCACGTGCCATTTGTAAATTTAAAGTTTTAAAATGGGCTAAATCAAAACGAATCAATTGATAATTGATTTTATTTTCGATGAATTGGGCTAACTTCTGATTCATTGCACTCGAATACTGTCCAAACAGCCATCCCAGTGGATTTGGTAATGCTGGAAACAGATTCATTGGGGGAACACCCGTAACTAAAATCATCTTTGGCAAAAACTTAGCTTCAATTTCTGTATAAAGCCCCTTTTGTTGCTGAATCCATTTTTGTGGTGAAATAAGTTTTGTGACATCGTTTACTCCAACCGATGTAATCACAACATCAAACTGCTGATTGTCTAATTGTTTGGTTCTTTGCAAAATTTCTAAGGTGCTATCCCCCGTTTTCGCTTCTAATTGATAAGTGACTTCAAAATTAGAGGCTAATTCATCGAGTAAACACCCCAATAAGGCTTCACGTTGATCTTCAACCCCCACACCTGCGGCAGCAGAGTCACCCAAAATTAAAATAGATAGTGCTTTTCCTTGTCCTATAACACCTTTTCGCAATCCTTGAGGTTCAGCTAATCGAAGTGTATTTTTCTTGACGCGATAACCTTGAATAATTAATGCTGGAACGAGAGCAATGGTCGAAATTTTTAAAAGCATATTTGGGTACCAATCCAACAAAGCTATCTCAAAATCAGTCAGAGTCAGATATAGTTTGTCGCAATATTAAAATCATAAAGTTCAATGTCGATTTTACTTAATTGTATGGCCAAGTTGCTATTGGGCTAAATCAACAAAATTTAAGGCAAAAGCAAATATAAATGTACCAATAAACTCAAAAACTAAAACCGCATACTTTCTACTTTTGCTCATCAAATAGGCATTATAGGTCCCGATTAAAATGATACCAAGATACATTAACTTTTGAATACCATCGATTTGCATAAGGCATTGTTGAATTTCACAGTGCTTTTCAAAAAAGAAGAGATACAAGATACGCGCAAGAAAAACTAAAAAGCTGGTCAGGAAAAAACCCAATACGATAAACATGTTAAAATTCTCATTATTTTTTATCCAGTTAGATTTTAAAGCTTTATCTATGCAATGCAATAAAAAAGACCCTTGCTGGGTCTTTTTAAAGCTTAACCAAGTTTATTCACAATTTTTAATGGCAATATTTTCATGGCTAGTCCTATTGGTAACCAAGGCCATTGTGGTACATAAGCTTTAACAGGTTGTTTTTCAATTGCTTTAACCAATAAATGAGAACCTGTTTCAACATCGACCTCAAACGGTAGTTTTTTTGCCCCTTCATTAATTTCAGTACGAATATAACCAGGGAAAATCGTAGAAACTTTAATTTTCGTGTCAATTAACTCAGCACGTATCCCTTCCGCTAAAGCAGCTACACCAGCTTTACTTGCGCCATATGCAGTCAAGTGTTTAGGCATACCACGAAGTGCACTCATAGAAGAAATCACAACCAGATGACCAAACTTTTGCTCACGGAATATTTCAACAGCGGCTTCACACTGTGCCAATGCAGAAATGAAATTGGTTTCTACAGTTGCACGGTTAATCTCAAATTTACCATTGCCAATACGACGACCATCACCAACACCTGCATTGACAATAATACGATCGAGCCTACCAAAGTCCTGCTTAAAAGCTCGAAAGACTTGAAAAACTTGCTCATAGTTGGTCACATCTAAAGTTTTGGCAATTACTTTGATACCATATTTAGACTCCAACTCTTGTTTTAAGCTTTCTAAACGCTCTAAACGACGCGCACAGACGGCTAAGTTATAACCTTTTTGCGCAAATTCTCGTGCCATTCCTGCACCAATTCCAGAACTTGCGCCTGTGATTAAAATGGTTTTTGCCATGACAAATTCCTTAAACTGTTTTTATATTTCTAAAAGTGCGACTTTAAATCCACGTCAATAATTGCGGATCTTCAGCCTTAATAAAATGATGTTCATTCAGACTCAGTAATTGCGGTTCATTTCCCACCAGTCTTAATGTCGTTAAACTGGTATTGGCAATTGCCCAATTCAATGCAAAGGTTTTATTGGCACTTAACTCCAAGAGTTTTCCTGCAACAACTGAAATAACTCCGCCAGAAGTAAATACGATTGCATAGCGAGGTTTGGTTTTCACTAACTCATCACATAAATTCTGTAAAGCCGTTTCTACACGGTTTTTAAAATCTGGCCAAGATTCGTCATACTCATGGTGATATTCACCACCAGTCCAACGGTCAATTGCCCCTTCAAAAATTTTTGCCAAATAGGCACGTGGACTTTTTTCTTTGGCAACATCTTGTTGAAGTAGATGCGGTTGATTAAAACGCGGATCATATTGAGCAAAAACTTGTTGGTGGTTAAATTCATTCCAATGATGGTCAGTCACAATTTGAGCATCGGAAAAACTTTCAGCCAAAGCAAAACTTGCTGTTTGCTGATGGCGTAACATTGAACCTGCAACCACATAAGGCTCTTCTTTCAAAATTTTATCGAGATATTGCCCCAATAGTTTGGCTTGTAACTCGCCATTGGGTGAAAGTTTGTCATAACTCTCTGCACCAAATGACGCTTGTCCATGACGAACGAGGTAGATTGTGGTCATTTTCCTAAAATTTCCTTAAATTTTTCAAGATATTTCTGTGCAACTTCATTGGCTTCAATTTTTTGTAAACCGATAAGTTTTAATGCACGAATATGTAAGGCATGAATCACAATCCAAAAATCTTTAAAAGCAGGATTATCTGTTTGTTTATGATAGTAACGATAATAAATTTGCTGTGCGATTACAGCTAAACGGAAAATACCAAATACTTCGTAGAATGCCCAATTATCGGGTTTTAATCCGGTTTTTTCTAAATAATATTCAACCACTTCTTTACGGGTAAGCATCCCTTTTAAATGTGTAGGCTGGCGACGGGTTGATTTAAAAATTTGGTTGTCTGTATCTTCCACCCAATAGGCCAAAGCAGAACCTAAATCCATAAGAGGATCACCAATGGTTGCCATTTCCCAATCCAATACACCAATCACTTGGGTTGGGTTTTTAGGGTCAAGAATGACATTATCAAAACGCCAATCATTGTGAATCAAACACGTGTTTGAGTCAGCAGGAATATTTTCATTAAGCCATTTACGTACAAATTTAAAACTCGGCACATTGATGGTGTGCGCCTTTTCATAACGTGCATCCCAACCTTCAACTTGACGACGGCAATACCCATCACCTTTTCCAAGTTTTTCGAGTTCGGTGCCTTGATATGGAACTTGATGTAATTCAATCAGCTTGTCTAAGACATTAATACATAATTCATGCACTTGCTGTTGAGTAAAATTCAGCTCAGGGGGCAGTTTGGCACGCGGAATAATACCTTCAATGCGTTTCATCACATAGAAGTCACAACCAATTACGGATTCATCCTGACACAGCGCGACCATTTCAGGAAGAACTGGGTAGTATGGTGCAAGCCATTTTTGTACATGATATTCACGCGCCATATCATGTGCAGATTTCGCCTTTGTCCCTTTGGGTGGACGACGTAAAATTAAATCAGCATTGTCATATTTTAAACGATAGGTCCAGTTTGAAGCTCCGCCAGAATATTGAGTCACTTCTACATTGCCTGAAATTTCAGATCCATTTTCAATGAGCCAATTTCCGACAGCACGAATGTCCAGCTCCTCGCCTTCACGTATACTTCCACCAATATCAATGACTGACATATTATTTCCCTGAATCTTATGTTTTAAACCATACATCTCTAAAGAATGATACTTTTAACTAAAAACTTCACTTGCTCACTACTTTATATATAACACCTCTAACATAAAGCAGTTATTTTTTATCAGCAAATTGTTATTTTTTACGCGAGCCATAACCTCGTTTTTTTAATTCTAATTTTGCAATCATCCCTTTATGCACTTCATCTGGGCCATCCGCTAAACGTAAACTGCGGGCTTGAGCAAAGAATGCTGTTAAAGGTGTATCTCGTGATACGCCCATGCCACCATGAATTTGAATGGCCATATCAACTACTTTTTCAAGAACTGAAGGTGCAACAACTTTAATGGCTGAAATCTCGGTAAGCGCAGCCATAGTCCCTTGAGTATCCATTTTATACGCCGCATACAGGGTTAACAGTCGTGCTTGATCAATCGCAACACGAGCATCTGCCACACGTTCTAAATTTCCACCTAATTTAAGCACTTCTTTACCAAAAGCAGTTCGACTCATTCCTCGATCAATCATTAATTCTAATGCTTTTTCAGCAGCACCAATGCATCGCATACAATGATGAATACGACCCGGACCTAGACGCCCTTGTGCAATTTCAAACCCTTGTCCAGAACCACCAATAAAATTACTTACAGGTACACGAACTTGATTAAAACTAATTTCGCCGTGACCATGTGGCGCATCATAATCACCAAACACGGGTAACATACGTTCAATGGTCACGCCTTGAGTATCTACAGGCACTAAAACCATGGAATGTTGATGATGACGATCTTTGCTTTCATCAGGCGTATGCGCCATAAAGATAATAATTTTCGCATTTGGATCTCCCAAACCTGAAGACCACCATTTACGACCATTCAATACAATTTCATCACCATCTACCACTGCAGTTGCCTGCATGTTGGTTGCGTCCGATGAAGCAACTGCTGGTTCAGTCATACAGAATACTGAACGGATTTTTCCTTCTAATAACGGCTTAAGCCATTGTTGTTTTTGTTGATCTGAACCATAACGCCATAGCACTTCCATATTGCCACTATCTGGAGCATTACAATTAAATACTGTGGGTGCGATTAAACTACGGCCTGACAGTTCTGCGATATGGGCATATTCCTGTACAGATAAACCTGCACCCAATACTGGGTCTGGTAAAAACATGTTCCAAAGTCCAGCAGCTTTTGCTTTATTTTTCAGGAGTTCAAGTTGTGCTGGCCATTGCCATTTTGTCCAATCACCGCCTTGATTCAAATGATGGACTTCATTCCAAAAATCAGCTTCTACAGGTTCAATTTCATTTTTAATAAAGGCTTGGGTACGTTCTACAAATTCTTGCGCACGTGCTGAAAGTTCAAACATGCTTATCTTCCTGTAAATATATGGATAAATATTTGAATAGTGACTCTTTACTTTACCTTAGCTGAAAACCTATTATGAACCAAATGATTTAATTCAATACCTCACTATGAATATGATTCATAATAAAACCAATCTTGATATGTCGATTTTCAATCATATTGATATTAATTTATACCCGCTTTTTATCACCATTTATGAACAAAGAAATATTTCAAAAGCGGCAAAGATTTTATGCATTACTCAGTCTGCTGCAAGTCATGCTTTACAAAGACTTAGGCTGCATTTGCAAGATGATGTATTTGTTCGCGCTGGGAGTAAAATGCTGCCTACCCCTTTTGCTGAACAGATTTATCCATCTGTACAAAATGCTTTATTTGCTTTTCAAAATATCTCCAAACAAAAACAACAGTTTGATCCCAGTTCAGTACAAACCTTACGCATTGCAATACATGATGAAATTGAACCGATTATTTTTCCTAAATTGATTCATCATTTTCAAAAATTGAATTTAACCATTCAGTTTCTAAGTACCAAGCTTGACCGCAAAAATGTAATTGCTGATTTAGCTGCTCAACAAGTCGATTTTGTCATTGATCTAGAACAAAATTATGGTGATAAAATTAATTATCAAAATTTGGTTCAAGATCATTTTGTGATTTGTTCTCAGCATACAAATATCAATTCTGAACTGTATTTTGCATCACCTCATATCGGTGTTTCTTCACGCCGTACTGGTTTGCTTTTAGAGGATATATATTTAAATCAAGCGCAATTTCGTCGTCAGATTTTTATGCGTTGTCAGCATTATTCAACTGCCCTGCAAGTTTTAGCACAATATCCTGATGCGATGTTAACCATTCCAAAGCAGATACTGGCACATTTACAAGTTGATCAAAGTATCAATATTTTTGAGCATCCTATTGATCTACCTGTATTAAATATGGGAATTTATTGGCACGGTGCGCTAAATGAAAATTCTAGGCATATTTATTTAAGAGAAGAAATTTCTAAAATTTTTGCTTAGGCTATTTTATAAACGATTGGATTTAGCATGCGGTTAAGCCGCTCATTTACTATCATTCCTATTATTGATGATTTTCTTCATTCTAGTAGGTGAAATTAAGCTACTTAACTATTCCATTCAGCATCAATACATTGAACTCAAATTATAAAAATAAGACATAAAATCCATGTTAACCATGATAGTATACATTTTATGTCATGTTTTGGATGATATTGCTATGAGAACTTCGGCGCATAATTTTATGCTTGATGGTGTGGAAGACATGTTGACTCAAATTGGGACAAATATCAAAAAAGCCCGACTTCGACGTAATATGACCATTCATGATTTGGCCAATCGCATTCATGTAGATAACCGAACGATCTCACGTATGGAAAAAGGTGATCCAAGTACCAGCCTAAAAAATGTGATTTCAGTTTTAGTGATCTTTGGCCTTGAACATACCCTAGGCTCACTCGCGAATCCTGAGTTGGATGAAGTTGGCTTAGCACTCGAAAATCGTAATAGTTCAGTACGTGCAAGATTAAAAAAACAGTCTGTAATTAGTGATGATTTCTGATAGGTAAATGAACATGGATGAAGTTAAAGGATGTTATGTTTTCATAGATACAGGCTCCCAGCCAACAATTGCTGCACACTATTCTTATGAAAAGCCAATTTATCGCTTTCTTTATGGTCAATCATACTTACAACGTGCAGATGCCTTCCCTTTAGATCCACTTAATCTAAGCTTTCAGTCTTATAACAAACCATATGAAACTATTTCTAAAGATGGTTTTGGTGTACTTGCAGATGCAACACCAGACAATTGGGGTAAACGCTTAACCAATGCCTTACACCGTAGAACACCATTAAATCAATTGGAATGGTTACTCGCTTCACAAGGAAATTCAGTAGGCTGTATTGTTGGAAGCTTGTCTAAATCGCATATAAAAAACAATTCAAATATCATTCAATATGAAGAATTAGAAACTTTTATACAAATTACTGAACTCATCGAAAAAAAACGAGATCCGTTTGAGATGAAACTTGAGCAACTCGAATTAAATAAGCTGTTATATAACGGGGCTTCAATGGGCGGAGCCAGACCCAAAACCCTTGTGATGTATAAGAATAAGGAATGGATTGCCAAATTTAATAAAAGTGATGATTTGTTTGATACCTGTAAAGTTGAATATGCTTCGCTGAATATGGCACGAGACATGGGGCTCAATACATGTAATGCTGAACTAACAGAATGTGCCGGTCGCCCTATTCTCTTAGTTGAACGCTTTGATCGAAATTGCCCTGAACGTAAAAAACACTATATCAGTGCCAATAGTTTGCTCAATATTCAGAAAATTCGTATAGATGATCCTAAAATGTCCTATATGAGTATTGCCAAAGTCTGTAGTCAGATTTGTTTTGATGCTATCAGTAATCAAAAAGAACTCTATAAGCGGATGGTGCTGAATGTCATGATTAGCAATACTGACGATCATTTAAAAAATCATGGTTTTTTAATGTATGACATGAAAAAGCAACATTATGCCCTAAGCCCGCTTTTTGATGTTTTACCTCATGGTATGCCAAGCTCATTTCCAAATGAACATGCTCTGGTTTTAGGCAATGATGGACGGTTTGGAAGCTATGACAACCTTATCAGTCGTAGCAATGCCTTTGGACTAAACCTAGATCAAGCCAGAGCATGTATTAAGGATGTCCGTGATGTTCTCGAAAATAGAGAAAAATACTTGTTAGATGCGGGTCTTAAACCCACAGAAATTCGTCAATTAGAACCCTATTTCTTTCTAGATATACTCAAAAACTAAAATTCAACAATGCCAGCCATTTATATATTATGGATAATGAAAACATTGATCATAATGAATCGGTATTTAACCATTCATCTTGGCAAGAAAATGATCCAAACATGACATAAAATCCAGTTTAAATTAGATAAAGTACTTTTTATGTCATTATAAAAGAGAAGATCCAATTGCATTCCTATAATCTTGCTTAGGCTATTTTATTATTTTAAGATTATTTTCATTGTTGCCATTACTGTGATTCATATTTTTATTTCAGTCTATTATCTCAATAGTTAATGAAAAACAAAAAATGAGGAACTGCGTTCCTCATTTTTACTTTAGCAAAACCTTAGTAGGCCAACTGAATCAACATTCTAAAAAAACCAGCAATAAGCGCCAATGTTAGAAATCCACCTAGCCATAACACGACAAACCATTGCGTTTGAGATAGTTTCATACTTGCTTACCTCATTTAAACCTTTAAATTTTTACCCTACTACATGTTTAATCTTGCTTAGGCTATTTTTTACTCAAGCCAAAAGATTAAACATGCTACTTTTAAGTTTAGTGATAACCTTCATCACCAATTCGAACTTTGTCTCGGAACACCCAATATGAAAGCCCGGTATAGATCAAAATAATTGGAATTAAAATCAATGCACCAATTAAAGCAAACAATTGACTGCTCTGTGGCGCAGCAGCTTCCCAGATAGTCACTGATGGCGGAATCACATAAGGCCACAAACTGATGATAAACCCAGTATAAGCAAGGAAAACCAAAGCCAAGGTATAAAGGAATGGGCTTAGTTCATAACGCTTTTTACATGCGCGAAGTACTAGGAAAGTAAACAGCACCACCAATATTGGTACGGGACTAAAATACATCAATTGTGGTTGGCTAAACCAGCGTGCTGCAATTTCAGGATGCGCCATCGGGGTATAAATACTGACTGCGCCAAAGATGACAAACAAAGCAACGATTAATTTAGGCATCAACTGATACATACGATCTTGTAAATCAAGTTCAGTTTTAAAAATTAACCATCCACAACCCAGTGCTGCGTAAAGTACAACGACACCAATACCTGTAAACACAGTAAACGGCGATAACCAGTCTAAACCACCACCTGCATACATATGATTTTCAACTTTAATCCCTTGGATATATGCACCAAGAATCATCCCTTGGAAAAAACTGGCAAGAATTGATCCACCAATAAAAGCTTTGTCCCATAAATGCTTGGTTCGATTGGCCTTAAAACGAAACTCAAAAGCCACACCACGGAAAATTAAAGCAATCACCATAAGGATAACTGGCATATATAATGCAGACAATACAGTGGCATAGACCATTGGAAACGCAGCATATAATGCTGCACCGCCCAATACCATCCAGGTTTCATTACCATCCCAAACAGGTGCAACAGTGTTCATCATCACATCACGTTCGTGTTGATCTTTAACAAAGGGAAATAAAATCCCAATCCCTAAATCAAAACCATCTAATACTACATAGATGAATACACCAATGGCGATAATAACAATCCAAATCAGAGATAAATCAATCATTATTTACGCTCCTGTTCATTGGAATCAACGCTATCTTCAACACTCGTCAATGGACGTTTAGAGGCCAAAATAACCGCTTCTTCACTATGCGCTACACTTTCTGGTGTGGCGTAGATAAATTGTGGACCTTTATGCATCAATT